TTGCAGGGCCATGCAGACGAGGTGTTTGTGCTGGAGCCCCATCCCTCTGACTGCAGGGTGATGCTCTCTGCAGGCCACGATGGCAACGTCTTCATCTGGGACATCACCAAGGGCACCAAAAGCAAACATTATTTTAACATGGTAAGATCATCTTCTGATCATGGTAAGATAATGGTAAGAATCTCTTTAAACACCATTTATTCACATCAATGTGTTCACTACCAGCTTAAGGAATTGCAACCAAACTCAAACTTTTGCAACTTTAGGGGAAAAAAATCCCCCAACCAAACAGGAAAACCTTAACCAGCAAAATTTATTCATTCATTTTTTCCCTTAGAGCTTTTTTACCTTAGATTTTGCAGATTTTACATTCTGTATTACTGAAGGTTATTGAGCACTTCATTCATATTAATTGTTTTCCTCAGCTGAGGGTGAGATGCCATCTGAAAGGTTCTGTTTCAGGCCATTGTTTTAAGGTATTTTTATTTTCCACAGGATTAAAAATGATAATCTTAATATCCATGGGAACAGTGCTTGAGGGCTCCATTTGACAGCTCATCATTAATACTTTATATTAGGTTATTTTCTCTGAGATTTAGGTTCTGATCTAATGTTCATATAAATTTTTTATCCTTTTTCCCTGGTCAGTCAACAGCAAAGAGCTGTTTTTTTTTTTTATTTTTGACTTTTTAATTTTTTTTTTATTTTTAAAAAGAGCTTTTTTTTATTTTTAACTTCTTAAAATAAAGAATTTCTTCTTTCTTTTATTCTTAAGTTCTTTATCTTATCTAGAAAGTTGTTTAACAAAACCAGTCTATATTAGCTCCACTTTATTTCAAGCAGAGTGCTGACAGCTACAAAGCCTCACTAAAACATGTTTATTTCTTTATTTTCTTCTCTGAATAATAACTTTTCATAGCTTCTAGTGCATATTTTAGAATTGGTTCAGGACTTAAATTCAAGGGGAAGAAATATACTGAAGTAACAAAATTATTTGGGCCTTAATTGGAAGTGTTTAGGGGAAATACATGGAGTAATTAATTTTTTATGCTTATGGATTGCTCTGAAAAAATGGTGAAATAATCTTGATTTTTTTTTCCTTCAATCCAGATTGAAGGCCAGGGACATGGAGCTGTTTTTGACTGTAAGTTTTCACCAGATGGGCAGCATTTTGCATGCACAGATTCTCATGGGCATCTGCTGATATTTGGCTTTGGCTGTAGCAGGCCTTACGAAAAGGTAAGTTCAGCTTTTTATCACATCTCTGTATGGAGTTTCTAACTAAAATTACATTATCACATTAATTATTTTAAAAGTTTATATGTAAAAAATCATTTGTGTGGTTAGAAGATGTAATTATAATGGATTCCTTGATGTCTGTAAATTATCTTGCTTATATGATCCTGGCACAGCAGAAAAACCCAAAGTCTTGACATTGCCATGGGAGCACTCCCAAGAATGTTCTGGAACACATTTTCATCTTGGACCTAATTCACCTCCATTGTTCAACCTCAAAAATGCTTCTGTTTCTCATTTCTGCTGATTTATCTTGCAGTTCTTTAGGCCTTTCCTCACTCAAGCCCAAATTCACTGTAGTTGATTAAATTAAGCAAAAATAAATTATTGATCCAACAATTTAACCTATCCTAGATTTTTTAATTTATCAGCCTGCGTCCTTTTTGTTTTGATAAATACACATTTCTTCTTTTCTTCACTTCCCCTCCATTTTTTTGGGGATTGCATTTCTAGTTCCATGTGTTTTTAAAGAATTATTTTTTCCTTGCTCTGCATTCTCAGCTGAAATTGAAACTTGTTCCCTTCATCTTTGCCATCACTGCTGGAAGCAAACATTCTGACTGTGATCCAATAGTTCTGTAACCATTTCCCTTCAGTCTCATGGACTTCCAGTTGTAGAAAAAACTTCAGGTGGATATAGATAAAGAATGAGATCATGATTAGGAAAACTTTAATTTGAGCTGGTGTTGAGCTTTAGCCAAAGATTTCCTTGCAAGGAAACTTTGGGGCCACTCACAAGCTGGACTTGGTGACCCTTGTGGGTCCCTTCCAATTCTAATAATTGTAGGGGAAAATGCAGAATGGAGATAATTATTTTTAAGTGTAAAACAGTCCTTTTGCATCAAGTTACCTCAGCTTTTTGTTTTCTGAAAGAATTTTGTTGCCTGCAAAAACCACAATCAAAAGTTACAGTACTGAAAACCCATCCAGGTTAACTGAAGTTACACATAAATCTTCTTTCTGATTGGGAACTTGCCCTTTGTTCTACTTTTAAGTAGATTTTAGGGACTTTAGTGCTTGTTCTTAGTTCTTTAACATATTTTTTTTTCCCAAATTGCTGACATAAAAATCAAATTTCCTTTTAGATTCCTGACCAGATGTTCTTCCACACTGACTACCGGCCGCTGATCCGGGACTCCAACAACTACGTGCTGGATGAGCAGACCCAGCAGGCCCCTCACCTCATGCCCCCTCCCTTCCTGGTGGATGTGGATGGAAACCCTCATCCCACAAAATATCAAAGATTGGTGCCAGGAAGAGAGAATTGTGCAGATGAACATTTGATTCCTCAGCTTGGATATGTAGCAACAAGTAAGAATGTCACTAAAGTTCCACATCCAGAAATAGGTTATTCACTAGTTGCTAAGGGGACAGCAGCAATTTAAAAATACTTTTTTTTTCACTTAATATTTTGTATTTATGTTCACTAAAGATGCTGGAAGGTCCTACAGTAAATACTGTTTAAAAAGGCAAAAAAAATCAGTTTTTCAATTGGATGTTGTAGTTCTTTTCTGTGGGCAGTGATGTTCACAAGCCGATTGTACATCCCATAAATGTCTTCCTTGGACTCAATAATTGGAATAAGGTCCCTGATTTGCTCTGTTTCCCAGGTGATGGGGAGGTTGTGGAGCAGGTGATTGGCCAGCAGACAGTGGACCAGGACGAGGCAGGCCTGGAGCCCAGCATTCTGGATGGGATGATCCGGCAGCTGCAGCTGGAGCAGGATCAGAGAACTGCAGCTGAACAAGAGTCTGCTCCAAGTGGCCCCCAGAACGGGGAGGGAACACCCAGGAGAGGTGAGAACTGCTGAGAATTCTTCAGGAATTGTTCTGTCTCTGTTTTTATTGTGCTGTGTGAAATACTGAAACAAGTTTTAACTTCAGTATAATTGTGGGGACTAAGATTCCTTTAACATTGTGATACCTGGTTATTTTTATTCATTAAAACACTGCTGCTCCTGGGGTTAAATTACAGAACCTTTCACTTGAAAAGGAAAAGGTCATTAATAACATGCAAAATGTATACAATAGATTTTTTTGCAAATGTTTGTCAATGTAAGTTATTTTTGCATTCCTTACTTTCTGCAGAGTAAGTATTGTGCCATTACTAAACTGCTTTCCCTGTCCCTTCTTTAGAGATTGAAACAAGATACTTTCCCAAGCTCTGTCTTTGTAGTTTTAATTATGTAGATATATAATTTAAAAATATATATTTTCTTTCATAATTATATATTTGCTATATTTGCTCAGCTCTAGGAAAAGTGCTTTTTAGAGCCTCACTGGCCTCAGAGCTGTGAAATAGTTCAGAAGAGCCCTTCTGTC